CACACACACACACACACACACACACACACACACACACACACACACACGCCAGAGCCTGCATGTGTTCAGAGGACAGCTTGTAGGAGTCAGTGGGTCCCAGGACTGAACGAGGTCTTCAAGCTTGACTGCAGACCTTTACCCTCTAGTCCTGTTGTCGTCTGCACCACACCTTCTAAACTGCAGTTAAAAGTCCCGGGTATAAGGGCACTGACCTTATTTCACCTAATTACTGTCACTTTTTATGGCATGTACATTCAGCATAGGTTGACTCTAAGGGCCATCATTTTACTAGGCAAGCCTGCTTCATTGAGTACTAAGCGACAGCCACAGTCATAATTACTGCTTTTGTTTTTGTTTTTTCATTTTTTAAGACAGGGTTTTTCTGTGTAGCCCTGGTTGTCCTGGAACTCACCAGGGGCCTCAAACTCAGATCCTCCCACCTCTGCCTCCCGCCTCTGCCTCCCTGTGCTGGTGTTACACCAGTCCAACACTGACTGTAATCTTAAATTTCTCTTCCTTTGAGGGCATTGATTGATGTCTTATTGGTACTTCCTACTTTGGTAATAAATTTGTTTCAGTGGTTTCTTTTTTGAAAGACAAGTTTTAACTATCATTAAGTTTTGTTCTTTTTGATGCAAAATGTAACTTTTTTTGACTTTTCAAAAAAATTGTAACTTTTCAATGAATATTTTAGGCTTTAAATAGTTCATTGGGAAAATGCCAGGAAGGCAAAATATAATGTACAAATCACTTGTAATCTTCCTATTAATAAATATCATTGTTTATGGTTAGTCTACTTGGTTTGAGATTTTTATTGTTCTTGCTTTGTAGAAACAGATCTAGCTATCCAAACTTGTCTGAAGCACTTAATCCCCATGCCTCAATCTCCCAAGTACTGGCATTATAGTGTGTGCCAGCTCACATGACAACTGGCTGCAGGTCTTTTTCTTCTTACATCTGAGATCTTCTGCCACAAGATTATTGTGTAGATTTACGTGTGGTAGAATTTTCTCATTGTCTGGAGAGCTGGCTCAACAGCACTTGTTGCTCTTGCAGAGGATCTGGGTTCAATTCTCAGTACCCACAAAATGACTCAAAACAGTCTGTAACTCCAGTACCAGGGAACCTGAATGTGCTGACCTAGAACCAGGCATACACATGGTGTGTGTATATATATATATATATATATGCATATATATGCATGTATATGTATGTATGTATACATATACATTCAGGCAAAGCACTTATACACATAAAATAATAAATAAATCTAAAAAAATCATTTTTTCTCATATAAGTAAATCCTAGTTTTCACATTGTATGAGATTACTAAAATGCGTTGTTTTATAATTTTTTAAAAGATTTTTATGTTATTTTGTCTTTTTTTTCCAGAGCTGAGAACTGAACCCAGGGCCTTATGCTTGTTAGACAAGCACTCTAGCATTGAGCTAAATCCCCAACCTAAAATATGTTTGATTAATTCATATTGGATGGTTCTCTTATTGCTATTTTAAATAATTCAGCTGAAATAACTTTTAAGTCTAGTTATATTGCTGAAGTTTTCTTTTTGTTTTGTTTTTGTCTAGACAGGGTTTCTCTGTGTAACCCTGACTTTCCTGGAACTCCCTCTGTAGACCAGGCTGGCCTTGATCTGCCTGTTTCTGCCTCCCAAATGCTGGGATTAAAGGCATAGGCCACCACATCCCATTGCTAATAATTTTCTTTATTTTTCCCTATTTAATAAGAACTCTTGAACACATGGGGCGTAGCTTCCCCAGCAGGCAGAAACCAATGGATTTCACTCCCAGTATTTAAAAAACAAAACAACCTGGATCAAATAAGAAACATATAATTACATACAAATGTCAAAAAGGGTTGTAAGAGGGGCTGGAGAAATGGCTCAGCAGTTAAGAGCACTGACTGCTCTTCCAGAGAACCCGGGTTCAATTCCCAGCACCCACATGGCAGCTCACAACTGTCTGAAAATCCAGTTCCAGGGGATCTGACACCTTCACACCAATGCACATAAAATAAAGATAAATAAATCATTAAAAAAAAATTTAAAAAAAAAAAGGTTGTAAGGGTTTGGTCAGAGGGTTGGCTCAGCAGGTATAGGTGCTCATCATCAACCCTGATGAGGCTTATCTCCAGGACCCACCCAGTAGAGGAGAAAATTAACTCCACAAGTTGTCCTCTGACCTCCACATACAGGCTAAATAAAATTAAAAAAGAAGTGAGATTTCATTATGTGATACAGGCACGTTTCAGACGCCCTCCTGCTACAGCCTAAGCGATGTACTAGGAAATGTACATCCAGATCACAGATATGTTTTTAGCCAACAAAAGTGTCATTGCAAACCAACCATGCAACTGTAATCCCAGTGTTCAGGAGGCTGAGACAGGAGAATGGCCAAGAGTTTGGCCTCAGCGAGATCTTGTCTCAAAAAGCTCAGGGTCTAAGAATATGTTCTACCCATCCTTAAATGCATTTTTTTCTTTTTTTTTTTTTTTTTTTTTTTTTTTTTTGAGACAGAGTTTCTCTGTGTAACAGTCCTAGCTGTTCTGGAACTAGCTCTTGAAGGCCAGGCTGTCCTCAAACTCACAGAGATCTGCCTGCCTCTGCCTCCCGAATGCTGGGATTAAAGGCGTGCGCCACCACCATCTGGCCCCTTAAATGCAAATTTTATCTTTCGGTATAAGTGTGTTTAATTGTTAAAGCAATCAGCTCCTTCTTTCTCAAGTGGACAACTGAAAAAATGAACAAAACAAAAGTCTTTATTTCTGATGGTGTCTGTTTGGGCTACATATGGAGGAATGTATTTCTTCTGCATCTCATTTGGCTGTTCAGCTTGTTTAGTTCTTCTGTCATTTCCCCTCAACCACATCTGCCCTTCCTGGTGCCCAACAGCAAGATGGCAGACTTCTCAAGCACTCTTCAAATCAGACTAGAGGCCTTTCAGTGGAAATATCACCCCTGCCTCTAACACTGTGTTTGCTGAAGTGAAAATCCACCGTGTTGATAGCTTCCAAGTACCCTGAGGAGAAAAATGCCTAAAAGATGTAATTATTTAAGATCCCAGTTCTTGCATGGTGAAGGTAACCATGTTTAAATTTGTTTTCCTAGCATCTCTTCGCCGAATGTCATCCAGAAAATTCCCTGGAACGTCTGGGTCCAATATGATTTATTACCTGGTTGTAGGTGTGACCGTCAGTGCTGGTGGATATTACGTAAGTGCTTAAGGACCTGCTAAAGAATGCCTGTGCCCTGCTTGCTGGCTCACCCCTTTCATCCCAGTACTCTGCATCCAAGGACGGTCTGGTCTGCTTTCCGACTTCCAGAGCAGCAAAGGTCCCTTATGGAAACAGGTTCTGTCTCCACAAAGAAGGGGTTGGTGGAAGTGGTGGGCAGTCATTGGTTTCTGTGCTGCACTGAAATTGTTCCTGAAACTTCTAACGGTGGCAGCACAGAGAATTGGATATGATGAATCTTAAAGAGGGAGAAAGAGAGCTAAGTCCACATTTTCTTTCAGACTTACAAGGCTGTCACATCAAAGCAAGCCAGACATACAGAACACATCAGGAACGTGAAAGAACAAACCAAGGCAGAATCACAGCCACTTCCAGGTAAATTTCTTATTGTGTTTATTTACTAGAGCTGAGATCTCATGAATCCCAGGCAAGCTGACCCTACCCTGTGATCCCTGTGGTACCTCTGCCTCCACTTCTTGAGCTGGGATGACAGTCATATACTCACCCCCCCACACACACACCTTTGGTTCTTTCTTTCGATTCTTTATCTAGAATGGCTGTGTGTAGGGGTGCACTCAGGAAGGAAGATCGTGGTAACCTCGAGCTTTGGATGAGGACATTTGATAAATGAGCGAGTTTTCTGTGTGTGTTTTGCTGAGAGGCAGTTTTCATTCCTCTGTGTGGTAATATTATTTCTACTCCGTAGACACCCATTCATGCAAGCATGATTTTAGCATCTGTCTCAGCAGTTTGACCTCTCACTTCCCCCTCCATTGTTTTAAATTGTAAGCTGATTTTTTTTTTCAGTGTTGGCAAGCACCACCTCTGTGTCTTTCTCAACGTTTGCTTCCCATGAGTTAAATCAGTGGAGCATCCTGAGGCCCCGAGCCTGGAAAATGGCCACTGGGGGGGACAGAAACTTTACAGTGGCACCCCCACGTCCATTTCTCGCTTTAAACAGCTTACTTTAACTGTTTAAAGATTTATTTCATTTTGTGTGTGTTTTGCCTGCATGTAGATAGTTAAGTACAGGTGGTATACCTGGTTGTCATCATAGTGTTCCGTCCTGTCCCATCTGTGCCCCAGCCCCAGAGGTCAGAAGAGGGATCCCCCAGAGCCCAGAGCAGAGTAACAGATGATGGACAACAAACACACGGGGTTCTCTATAGAGCAGCCCCACTCCTAACATGGAACTGTCTCTCCGGCCCCAAGCTAATTACTTTAAATGGATTTTTTTTTCTGTCTCAACTCTAAGGTTATTATCAGTTACTGTAGTCACTGTTTAGGAACAGGGAAATTAGCAACTCAGGAGTCAGGGTTTGCTTTGCAAGGTTGGTTGGTTTGTTTGTTTTGGCCGGAAGGTTGTTTTGGTTTGGTTTGAGGGTTTTTTTGTTGCGGTTGTTTGGGTTCTTGTTTTGGTTTGATTTGGCTCTTTCGAGACAGAATCTACTATGTAGGCCAGGCTGCCTCCACTTCTGGAGTCCTGGAACTAACAAGTGTGCACCACAGGGCCAGACATTCAATTTTAATTTTTCGTTAGGGTACTAGGAAACAGAATATTATAGCCAGCAAGATGGCTCAGGAGAATAAAGGTAATCAAAATACTTGCAAAATTGGTGCGGAAGGATCGGGAGTTCGAGGTCTCCCAGGCTACAAAGCAGATTCATGTTAACCTAGACTATAGTAAATGTTGTCGCAAAAAAAAATAAAAAATAAAAAATTCCCTTCCCCCAAATTAAAATAAAATAAATTGATTGCATTATTCCACTTTATTTCCATGTTCTTCAAATCAATACTTTGCTTATTGAACCAAATCCTAAAGGCGAAAAGGAGCATGTGGCAGAAGCTGGGGCCGGAGAAATTTCTGTAAAGGAAACGGAATTGGTGCATGCTGAGGAAGTGCCCAAGGCTGCAGCAGGGCCTCCAGAAGGGTCTCCGACCTTCCCGGTCCCTGCAGAGGCTGCCCTAGAGGAGATACCCACACCGAGGGAGGAGCCTGAGCTGAAGACCACCGAGGGAGTCCCTGAACCCACCGCGGAGGTGGAGAACATGGCTCTTGAATCCACAACAGAGGTGGAGAGCGCGGCTCCTGAACCCACTGCGGAGGTGCAGAGCGCGGCTCCTGAATCCTCTGCAGAGGTGCCGAGCGCAGCTCCTGAATCCACGGAAGAGGTGGAGAGCGCGGCTCCTGAATCCCCAGCAGAGGTGCAGAGCGCAGCTCCTGAATCCACAGAAGAGGTCGAGAGCGCGGCTCCTGAATCCCCAGCAGAGGTGCAGAGCGCAGCTCCTGAATCCAC